AAAAAAAAAAAAAAGAAAAAAAAAGAAGAAGATTACCCCATGAGAGACTCCTCTAGTCAGTAAAAAGCATCAAAACTGAACTAAATATTTGGTAAGGTTGAATATTGGTGTGGGGGGCCTAACGACTCCTCGTTTCTCTATTTTATTTTTTTGACATCTGTAGTGATCTGAACCACATGGTGAGGTTTTAAGAATCTCATTCCAGTATGACGTATAGGGCTAGAAAAACTAATTAACAAAAACTGAAAAGAAAAGAAAAAAAACTTATTAAAACATTTAATTGGTTTGTTTTGGTTTTATAAGTTTGAAATTGAAAAACCAAACTAAATCAAAATTAATAATTGAATCAAACCGAATAAACCGAGTTAAACTGAAAAATTAAGCTAAAAAAACAAGTTAATCAGTTGGGTTTTGATTTTTACTCTAAAATAACATAATCAAATCGAAATTGATCAATTTAAATTAATTTTAATTTTCTTGAAAATAATTAAATTATTTCTAAATAAAAATCAAACCAAATAAAATTAATCACCAATTAAAAAATCACACACACACGCACACAAGATATATCCTTGCTTACTAATGACTAAATTATGGTGGAGGGTGGGTGGGTGGGCAGAGCAAGGGCTAGGAAGAACGAAAAAAGTTACAAACCAATATAAATTTTGTAAGCTGAGGTTGATTAGTATGTAAGTTTTCTTGCTCCCAATATTGTATTTTTCCTTACATGCGTAAATGAAGATGTTAATGCTATGCTTAATTGTGTTTTGATGCATAGAAACTTTCCTAACAATATATTAAAACACGTATCAATAAATAGTTTTGTTATATCATATGTTTTCATAACATGTATGCCATGGAGTCTAGACAACAATTGTGGCTGTAGGCAGGTGTGGAGCAAAAACAAAAAATTAAAAGGGACCAAATTACAAAAAATATTTTAAAAAAGTTAAAATTTTACTAAAATTATAAATATTCACAAGAAAAAGGCTAGGAAATGTGGAAAAACATTTTCTTGCAGAGGTCGGGGCCGCTGTATATATGCATCCTTTTTATTTGCACTTCCTTAGGGGTAATGGATCCTTTTTATTTGCACTTCCTTAGGGGTAGTGGTGCTCGCAGATTGTGCATGCTCGCAGATTGTGCATGCTCGTGACTTGTAAATCGTGACCGACCGAATCACCACTCTGATTTTTTTTTTTAATGTTTTTCTGCTATTTCTTAGTTTTGATGTCCACGCATATGCTTTAACGTCTTCTCTTTTTAATGTTTTGCTGCTATAATTTCTTTTCTGTAATGAACAAGTTTCATGAAAAAGATCTTTCTATCCGTCCAAGTCAGTCATGTGAGTTTGCTCCCCAAAAATAAAATAATAATTGTACTATGCGGGGTCGAAATATAAATGTGTGCAGTAAATCAGTGATCTTTTAGGATATTGTATAATAATTTGCTGTTTTGCTATCCTTGTAATTACAGGTGTATTTAATTAATTTTTAAAGTATTTTTTTATTTCAAAACACTTTAAAATATTATTTTTTTAGTTTTTTAAAAATTATTTTTAATATAAATATATTAAAATGATTTGAAAACATTAAAAAATATTAATTTAAAATAAAAAATAAAAAAAACTTAAATTTGTTGGAAAACATTTTTAAAATAGAATACCAAACATGTCTAAGTAGTTATAATTGACTTGTAGACACATGGTCCACCACTTGCTGTGTCATGCATGTTCACCTCTCTCTAGCTGTTGCGTGAAAAAGCATTGAAGTCTTCGTTCAAGTTATGGGTCGTTGTTCCTTTAAAAATTATGGGTACTAGGCTTACAACCATGGGCCTGCAAGTTCTTGCTCCACTGTTTCTACATTGATTTATGTATGGATTAAAATTAAAATTATTTTTATATAATACCAAGAAGAATTTCCCTAGATACTAACTTATTTGTAAGCTCTGCATGCTATGGTGCGGACATGCAGTCTTATTTTATATAAATGTGTGCGTTTTGGCTGACGTGTCCATGATGTTTTAGTTAGGTGGTTCAACTAATTTGAAGACAAAACCTTTACATGCCAAGATATTTGTAGGCTCTGGTGACCTTGTGTGATTAGAGTTTATGGGTTAGTATTTTGTAAATCTTAGAATTATTAAAAATTTATATAATTATTAATTTTAGAGTTGATGAGATTAGTTGAGATGTGTATAAATTAGTCTAAGCATCCATGTTAATATAAATAAAAAAAAGATATTGATTTCTTAATTAAGTGACTTAGTGTGTGATTTCTTAATTAAGCCAAGGAGAGTCATTAGCTTATTTAGCATTAACTTAACGCCCAAAAGTCTCCAAAAGGTAATGGGAAAAAAAATTTAAAGTCAAAGATGAAGGGGTCATTGCATTAACCAAAAATAAAGAAACTTTAACACTGCTGTCCTATGAAGTTGTTTTATTAGGAAAATAAGGCCATGAAGTTGCAACAACTTCTTGGTAAATTTAACTGGTGACCAAAGATACGTAAGATTGGAAAAAGAAAAGGAAGAATATATTAATTTAATGGGAAATAATAATAAAGAAGCATTGGAAAGGATGTATTTTGGGTAAAAAAATAAAATGAAAGGATAATTCCCTGAAAGTTTGAATTTTCTCAATATTGCTTTTGGTGAGGTTATCTAAACGACCCTGAGGCCACTGAAAGGACGATAGACAATGATGGATGGTTGCACACCGGCGATATTGGATACATCGACGAAGATGATGAGCTCTTTATCGTTGATCGATTGAAAGAATTGATTAAAAACAAGGGTTTTCAGGTAGCCCCTGCCGAGCTTGAAGCAATGTTGGTTGCTCATCCCGACATCTCTGACTGTGCTGTAGTGCCGTAAGTCCTATTGCATATTTGTTTTATCAATGTGTACAATCCCAGCAAGCTTTAGTAATATTATGTTTATTGGTTCCCTTTAAGATCTATGCTTCTCATATATAATCAGTAGGACCATTTCTTGTGTGGGTATTTCAGCATGAAAGATGAAGCTGCCGGAGAGGTTCCTATTGCTTTTGTGGTGCGAGCAAATGATTCCAAGATCACCGAGGATGAAATCAAACAATATATCTCAAAACAGGTACTAATTAATATTTTATTAAGCAATTAAATAGTCAAAAAATCACATGCTGAAGGAGACGATATTATATTAGAATTACAATTATAAAATACATTAAAGCAAAACTAGGCTTTGTACTGTATCAATCTACAGTACAATGAATTTCTTTCTTAGGCTTTGTACTGTATCAATCTACAGTACAGTGAATTTCTTTTCTTTTTTTCTTTTTAGTTTCATCCTCAAACTTGTTTTTTTCTTCAATAACAACATTCTATGATCAAATTAATGACAAATTTCTAAAACTCTGTTGAGGAAAAAATTTCAATAAAAGAGGATCAAAGTGTAAAACAAGAATAAATCTCATGGCCAATATCTTATTTCTATGAAAATAACTCTTTCATCCATTTATTCTCTTTCTTCTTCTTTTTTGATACTTATAAATCTCATGGCCAATATCTATTTTCCTATGAAAAGAACTCTTTTGTTCACCTATTTCTTTCTCCTTTTTCAGTACCTATATTTTAGAATTTTAATTTTAGTTTAAAAGTTTATTTTATTTATTTATTAATTTATTGATGTAAGAAAGGAGAAAAAAAGTTTCAGATAGTAATGATAGGAAGAAAAAATTGTTGGTTGACTATATTCTAAATACTAGAAAGATTAATCTTGATGTCAATAAATTTTATTCAATGAAAAAACTTTTATTGAGGTATTTTTAAACCTTCACCTTGCTCAAAAAGTGAATTGAATTTTTTATGATTTGATTATGTATTTTTTGATCATTTGTGGTTGGATAAATTATTGTTTTTTTATAGATTCCAAGGATATATATTAGGTGTCTTTAAATGAAAATGGGTTGAAAAATATTTTTTTTTTATTTTATTCTTATACATTGAGTTTTTGTTGAATTTTTTTATTGGCCTTTTCTTCTCATTTCTTCCTTTAACATATGATTGATTTTGAATCTATTTTAATAATTTATTTTAATTTTTTTTTATAAATTATTGTGGTTATTTAGTTGTTGTTTAATTTTGCATCTATCTATTTTTATTTTTATATAATTAAAAAAATATTTTTAAAAAAGACTTATTAATTGCATGAGAGCTCCTTACCTAAATAGAGTAACTGTTAGAGTAACTTAGGTTAATTAAAAATTAAGTTTTATATTTAATAGTTTAACAAAACAAACTTCTCAGTAATAAATTAGTGTTTAATTTTTTTAGTGTTTATTTTTTGTTATATATTTAAATAAAAAATAATTTAATAAAATAGAACTATTAAACCTAATATAATTCATAATTTGAGTCACAAGCTTAATAAATTAATTATGATACTTGAAATAATCCATAACTCATTATTTTAATATGTTAAATGGATCAAGCAGAGACAATTTATATATTATTTAATTTGAAAGCTGAGCTAATTAAGAAATTAGATTGAGAGGTTATAAGGGTAACTCATTAAACTGAGTTTGATGATATTATCAAGAGCTCTTGTAGCCCATATAAATTTTCTTTATATATATATATATATATTATCTACCCCCGCAGCATAACATGACTCGATAATCTTGTGATCCGTATTTGACTTCTAATTCCAGCTTCATGGTGTATGTGATATGGCACCAAGCAGTAGCCACTTAGTAACAAGTATGAATAACCACATTATTAGATTAATATAATATTAATTCATCCCCCTGCCCAGGAACATGTATCTATTGTCAAGTAATTTGCCACAACATGCAGATCCTGAAATCTACTTAGTAGCAATGGGGTACTTCATGCTTTGGGTAGTAACTAGCTATTTGACCTCCCTTTCATCATGGTCAAATATTATTTTTTCATTACAATAGTATTTTCTATGCTTTTTTTTTTTAACATAAAACAATCTCAATTGCAAACCAAAAAATTCATGTATGCATTTAATTAAATAACACGAGTCATGTACTCAATTAGGCTAAAAAAATATTTTAAAATATTTTTTTATTTAAAATAATCACCTACAAAATTAAAAATGAATTAAATATTAGGCGATTGAATAAAAATACAAACTAAAACAAATCACATTGCCCAATTAGTAATTAATAAAATATGAAATTGTAAAATTATAAAAAAAAAAACAAGAAAAATTTAAAAAATATATATCCAACTGTGATTGGTAAAATTTAAAGGAAAAAAAAAAACCTCAAGTGCTCAAGCTTAATTGGCCCAAAATACACATACTTTATAAAAAAAGCCCGGGTGTGCAAGCTTGTAGCAACCCACACACCTAAGCTATATTATTATTTTAAAATTTTTATTAAGAGGCATTATCCACCGCTTAAAATTTTAGAAAAAAATAATAAATAATACATCACTTGTTTAATAAGTTAGATAACATTTCTCTATCTTATTAAGACAAATGACATGTTACTTGTCCTAACTAGATTTTGGTGATCTCTAGTCACTAAAAAATTATGTGGTGATGTTCTAGACCAAAATAAATTTTATTTTCAACCATATTTTGATCCAAAAAACCACAAAAAAAACTAAACACCTTGTAATACTTATTCATGGCTTTAATTGGTGTATATGATGACTTTCTCTTTCTACCGCTACAATTTAGCCATTTCCTCTATTCTTTCTTAAACTAGGGATCAAAAAATAGATAAATAAAATTTGAGATCAAAAGTGACTTTGTTCATAATTTTTGAAAATAGAAGGAACCAAGTAATTATAAATAGGGACTGAAATGAACATTTCATCCAAACTTGTCTAAAGCTCCTGGTTCCCTTCGTATTTTTTCACTCTAGTCCCCTGTTTTTTAATATCACCCTTACCTAACAAAGTAACCTAATTTGGCCTCCAATTTAGCAATTCAAGAGTGAAATTAGAAAAAACAAAGTTTTTTAACAAAAAACAATTGAATATGAAAGTCCACTGGAATTGTGAGAGAGGTTATAGTGTGCTCGGGGGAGCAATATTTCCCCAAACCTTTTAGAGTACTTGTAATTCTCCTAACCTTATCTAAAGCAATCTATCCCCTCCATGTTTTTCACCTTCATCCCTATCTTTTAATATCACAATTTCTTAACAAATTAACTTAAATTAATCTCTAATTTAGCAATTTAAGAGTGAAATTTAAAAAAAGAAATAGAATAAAATAAATCCACTATAGAAGCCCATAATGAATTGTGAAAGGGCTATAGTGCATGGAAACACTATTTTACTTATAGAGTATTTGCAATGATGATATTAAAAGCATTAATTTTTCTGAGACCATAAACTTGAAACCTATTTAATGTTTACAATATATTTAATAGAATTTATCCCATATACTTTTATGGGTTATATAGTTCACATTTTGATAATTTAATTAAATGGGTGTGATGATTTGTTGTGTAGGTGGTCTTTTACAAGAGAATTAGTCGGGTGTTCTTCACGGAAGCGATTCCCAAGGCTCCATCCGGAAAAATCTTGAGAAAAGACCTAAGAGCAAGGCTTGCAACTGGTGATCTTCCTCATTAAATTCCAACATGACATGCATAAAACAGCAGTAGTCTGAAGACCAGAGGCAGTATGGTCTTGCTGTGTTTTCCTTTCCTTATCGGCCCTCCAAAAGGAACAGGAGAATATATAGACTGGATTATTTCAATGATCAATTTGTTCTTAATACTTTGATGCAAGTTGAATAGAAGAATGAGCTTTGTATTAATTAATATGCTCATGTATATGCTGAGATGAACGGACTCAGGGTATTGTAGGGCATGTTTTTGACGACGTTAAAAACTTGGGACGGAAAATTCTGGTTTGTATACTTGTATCAACTTGCGTTACACATAATAAGTCTGATTTCCTTTATTTTCTTATTATTCCACATGATTTGTATTATTTATTTATTTATTTATTATGTAATTGGTTTTTTTATTTTTTGGTATAATATTGGATTTGAGTACACAAGCAGGAGTAGTTAAAATCCCCCCTCTCAAATTCTCCCTCCCAATGCATGATGGTCGCCGGAATGGAGGCTTCTCTCGATTAGCCTACCTTTAAATGATGCTATCAAGGTAAGTTGAAGTTAAGCTGATGTTATTATAACTGTTACTTCTGCTATAAATAGGATCTCGTGGCCTAGAATTAATGGTTAAGCAATTAGGAGATAACTAGATAATTTAACGCGCTACATACTTAGATTATTTTTTTAATTAAAAAAATATTTAAAATTATTGATGTGTTTTCTAATAAACAAATCAATCATAAACTCAAAATATAATATATATTGGATATTTTTTTTTAATATTAAGAAAATCATCCAAAATAATTATAGTTTACATTAATTCAATATTGGATTACATAATAAATATTTACAATGCAAAAAATTATCCCTCCAAAATACATTTTTTCCCCCTTAATATAAAAGACTCTAACTAGATATTAGTTTACTCGATGTTGTGAGGTACCTAAAATTAATTTAGTATAATAACACATGCTAGAAATCATGACGATCAAGATTCATATAAAATTAGTTCCATTTAAAATTTAATATCTTTAATTATAAATATTATTTTAAAAAAGAAAAAATTATTCCAATTCCCATAATTTACTAGTTTGAATGCCTACTAAAAACGTTAGGTGGTAAAATTGTTCAGAAAGAGTTTGGAAATTTGATGAACTACCAAAAAAGTTTGCATGCATTTCTTCACCATTTAAGGCAACTATTTTCATTTAATATATCATCTAACATCATTCAACACAAGTTCATAACCATTAACTTAATCAAGTTCATTCTCTACTTGGATTAACTTAATATAAGAATAAAATGTAGTGAAATTTCTTCAATTTCCCTGCTTTTAGTTGGTTTAAATTCAAGTTATCATATGGACATCCACACATTACATACATAATAAAGAAAATATTGATTCAACTCCTTCAAATTTCCATTTTCTTACCACACATGTTATGCCCTTCATTTCTCAAAATACTCAAATTTTGTTTTCTTCTACGAATCATTAATTTAAACTAATTGACATCCTATCTAATATCAAACTCATCATATATTCACAATTATATTAGAGAAAGCAATTAAAAAAAAGAATTAAGTCATGAAATCAGGATAAATTCATAGAAATCATATAAAAAAATTATGAAGTTCCACTTTTTAAAAATCTAACGTTGAATGAAACTAGTATATAACCTATGAAAATAATTTTTTTTTTAAAAAAAACACGAAATACAATCTCCATAATTATCAAATATTGAAGAATAAAATTAAAAAGTAAAAATAATAAAATAATATTAGTTTCTTGAAGGGTAAAATTATAAAAACAAAAAAGAGGAAAAAACAAATGGATTGAGTAACTATATCTAATGTACTAACAACTTAATTATATCACTTATGAACCAAATAAGAAAATCATCCAAAATAATTATAGTTTACATTAATTCAATATTGGATTACATAATAAATATTTACAATGCAAAAAATTATCCCTCCAAAATACATTTTTTCCCCCTTAATATAAAAGACTCTAACTAGATATTAGTTTACTCGATGTTGTGAGGTACCTAAAATTAATTTAGTATAATAACACATGCTAGAAATCATGACGATCAAGATTCATATAAAATTAGTTCCATTTAAAATTTAATATCTTTAATTATAAATATTATTTTAAAAAAGAAAAAATTATTCCAATTCCCATAATTTACTAGTTTGAATGCCTACTAAAAACGTTAGGTGGTAAAATTGTTCAGAAAGAGTTTGGAAATTTGATGAACTACCAAAAAAGTTTGCATGCATTTCTTCACCATTTAAGGCAACTATTTTCATTTAATATATCATCTAACATCATTCAACACAAGTTCATAACCATTAACTTAATCAAGTTCATTCTCTACTTGGATTAACTTAATATAAGAATAAAATGTAGTGAAATTTCTTCAATTTCCCTGCTTTTAGTTGGTTTAAATTCAAGTTATCATATGGACATCCACACATTACATACATAATAAAGAAAATATTGATTCAACTCCTTCAAATTTCCATTTTCTTACCACACATGTTATGCCCTTCATTTCTCAAAATACTCAAATTTTGTTTTCTTCTACGAATCATTAATTTAAACTAATTGACATCCTATCTAATATCAAACTCATCATATATTCACAATATCATAGTTTTTAATTCATCAACCATGAACCCCAATTCAAAAAATTAGGAATTTTATAGAACTTTGTTGATCTCCATTTAAACTTATAGAAACAAGTTCATAACAGCTTACCCGACAAGATTATGAACTTTGAATACTAACTTGGTGAGATTTTTCCACACTTTCCTCCCTTCTTGGCCAAAACTTTCACCCTTAGTTTCCCTTCCTTTTACTTGTTTTCTTAAGCTTAAATCTAATGTTCATATGTTTAATCACTTTTTCTCCATCCTAAACATGATTTCTCTAAGTATTTTGTTAAGGAAAAGCAATCCAGTTTTTCTTTTCTTTTTCTCTTCATCCCTTTTCTTCTTTTCTTTTAGTTCTAGCCGACCTTAAGAAGAAGAAAAAAGTTGCTGGAAACGCCAACTCATCAATATATTTACAAAAACACCACTAATGAATTCTCTAGTTATTTTTTGTCCACCTTTTGATAGTTGTATCTAATTTTCTTGAACTTTGATTACTCTAAAAGTGTACCCAAAGCTAAACAATGTGTTGGGTGACTCAACATAAAATTTCAACTCGATACAACTATCAAATTGATAATTATATTCATTAGAGCAAAACTGGTTAGTAGGTAATTTACGTCAAAATTTCAAATCTTCTTATATCATTTTCATGTTGAATGACATGACTAAAAGATTGATATCTTCTCCCAAATGCAAGAGTGTCGAAGTAATAAATAACCTAGCAAGATCAGGGTCAAATCACAAAGAGGTTAATTGTATAAATTATAAATAATAATAATACAATAGCAACAATAAAGAAGAAGAAGAAGAAGTTGATGAGAACTTTGAGATGGAAGATCAATATGAGGATTAAACAATACTAACAATAAATGTCAAGGTTAGAGGATCCACTAATGGTATTTTAAACAAGTATAGTATAAACTCTTTTTATTACTCAAGTGGAAGCCATACACAAAGGAGGTTCCAATCAGATTATAAATTATTAACATGATTACATTAGTTATCTTATTCGAATAATGCTAATACTTGTATTTAGATATCTTGGTTTTCAGATCAAGATTATATTCTTGTTTTCTTTCTTTGTATTTTTGTAATGTTTAAATTTTGCTTTCATTAATCTCTTATTTATACTTTTCATCATAACTATGTTCTTATCTAGTTTATTTATGTTTCTCTTTTTCATATTGTTTAGCTAAGTTTATTATGTCAAGGTGAAAAGGTTTCGCTAATGGTGTTAGAATATGTACAATATAAACTCAACATGGATTTCAATATTTATATCCAAGAAAGTTTGTTATTAACATGTTTTATCTTTTTATCTTACTAATTGTTATTACCTTGTATGTTGATTAGTACTTAAAAGTGCATTTTTATCAAGGTTTTATATCATCATTTTGCACTTGAAGTATCAATAACTCTTTAACTAAA